AAAAAGCCTCAATTTGTTTGAGCTTAAAGTTAAAACCTGAACACTGCATTGACAAAATGTCCTGGCAAGGCTCGGATGTCTTTATTTAGTTGCATTGTTTTGGAAGTCACTATCACTTTTGGATGCAGTTCCTAATCTGTATTTATCTTTCTTTTTTCTCCAAACCAAATTCTATAAGTAAATAATTAAAAATGGAAGACAGTCCAAAGAAACTCCAGGAATAGTCTAAGTCATACTGTGACTGCAGTCTGGTCCATGCATTTCTTGTCTTTGGAGATCTCTGAATTTCTAAGCCCTCACCTGATCAAATTATGTGACAAGATCATAAAAAGATCTGAAAGCCATTGTTCTATCTGTTATAAAGATATAAATATTTTCCCATTTTGAATCATAGGAACTTACAACCTTTGGTTGTTTCTTAGGAAAATAAAACTTAAAAGACATTTTGCTTCTCTCATGGTTGCTGCATAAGCCACATTTTCCTCCCTACACTTCAAGTATTTGATTCACCAATTTGTCCTCATGCACAGTCTCTGTGAACATTTGATGAGGAAGACACTGCTGTGTAAATGGGGAAATGCATGTTTGCATATCTGCTATGCCTGATTTAGACCAGAATAGTGATTTTCAGCCTTTGCTGAACTCTGTTGGTTTGCAAAACAGCAAATAAAGAGGCAAGTCCACATATGCTGCATATCTGTATAGACATGTAAAATTTCTGAAGGGGTCCACATGTCTTTTGGGAAATTTATGCAGCTAAACAAACAGAAAAAGCCTGAAAAACACTGGACTAGAAATTTGAACAAGTCACTGTTGATGGTGTCTTATTTCTCACACTGTTTTGAGACTCAGGTGTTTACTGGATGAAATTGTTCCACTTCATGGGAAGGAGTATGTGTTCACTGAAGGGGCAGGGGCAAAGGCTGATAATGTCCTTGTCTTTGAAGTCGCTGCAGAAAATGGGTATGGAACTATTTAGACAAAGCTGAACAGCTTGAACAATTGCTTATCTAGAGCTTAGAGGCTGTTGTATACTTTTTATTCCTTTTTAAAGACTCAATGCTCTGTAATAATAAAAGAAAATATGATAAAAGACAAGGGAATGATGAAAATTAAGTCACTTTCAGGAAAATGGTGAGATTAAGCTTTTTGTATATTTTTGAATCCTAAAAGAATGCTTGGATGAAATCAGCATCACCTATTCACTCCCTTCATTCTCCCCCTTACTGTGAAGTCTTTCCGAATCAGTAGCAAAAAAGAGGAATGATTGAATTGGTGAAGCTATGAACATTACAAGATGCACACTCCAACAAACATAAAATGCGTGAGTGCCTAGTGAGCATTAGGAAATCTGTCACTGTGAACAATTGAAGGTGACAAGTTCAAATAGAATGAGGAATTCCAGTATTAACTTACTTCCAAACAAGATATTTTCAAAATTGTCATGTTCAATTTTTTTTATTGAAGATTGCCTGCATGAAATATAAGCTAATTAAAATTATTTTTAGATAAATGCAAAATAAAATAAAATTCAATTCAAAACCCTGGGAAAACTGTGGAAAATGGAAACATGAACATTTCCACACTGACCACTTTCTTTTTCCTTTTTTGCTAAAATTTTCAAGAACACCTTTTCATGCTGTGAGTGCTGGAGAACTAACCCCACGTTACAGCCCTCTCATGAACGTGCTTCAGCTGAAAAAAGAGTTCTCAGTTTTCTGTTGTATTTTTGAAAGGAAGGAAAAACTGTTTGAGAACCCTACCTTTTTCATCAGTAACTTGTGAGAGTCCTATATGTGACTGAATCAATTCTGAAAGAGTTCAAGCCCTGCAGGGAGAGCCCATCAGGCAGCTCCAGGAGCACCTAGTATATTGGCTGGCACAGCAAAGTGGCAAGTGTCCAGGAGCAGCTGTTAAAAGCTTTAGAAGCAGTATAACTCCACAGTACTTTGTCTTTTTATGAGTTATTTTATCTGTTTAATTCATAGAAACAAAGGTGGGAAATGAAAATGAGGGCTAAGGAAAATGGTACTGTCTTGAGATACCTAATGCCACTTCCAGTGTGCAGATGTATGATCTAAAAGAAGAAACAGAAATCATGGTGTTTTTTTTTTAAATCAATTCTAATCTTCAGAGAACTGGGGAAATTGTTTTGTTACTTTTGTGGGCATAGTCTCATCTGCAAGACATTTAAATACCTGGTACCCCTTTATCAAGTAACTTCTGCTCATTTAGCTACCAAAATTGTTTTGTTGATTTTAGTCTTTAACCTTTAGCCTAAAGGGTAAAAATAGAATTAAAAAGAAATCTTTGTAATGCCTGTGATCATAATAAGGGTGAAATGCCAGAAAGTTTCTATTTTTCCTGCCACTTAGTATGTTACAGTATAAACCCTTACAAAGGGTTTATACTGTACTTTCATATTTCAACTTCCATATTTCTTTGTACTTTCATATTTCAACTTTCTTACTTATGCTGCATGTTAGATGGAAGTGCTAACTTTAAAATTTGTCATCCTAATGTGCGATCCACTGGAAAAAAGATGGATGTTTTGAACATAACAGGCTTTGCATTAAACTTCAGCACAGACTAGATGAATTGTAGAATTATGCGTAATAATCTTAAAGGGTTTTAGTGATCAAGCACAGAGTAGACCTATGCTGACATTAGGTCCAACACATCTAAGGTACACATAACAGAGATCCAGGGCCTTGTGGTTCTACTGGTTTATATTGAAACTTCTGCAGTGTAAAAAAATGCTGACCAAGATAACCAAGTTTTTCTATGTCAGCAGTATTTCTGGACATTTCTGAGGCTCTGTTCTGTGCCTGTATAATCCACATGCCATCTGGTGTGTCTGCTGCAATTCTGCATAGGCTTTTTATACTCCAAGTAGATTGGACTGCCACTGCTAGTTATAGCCTATTGTTGATGTACTAAAAATATTTCTGCTTTCACTGTAACACCTTGACATGAAACCTGCTTTGTTAACATATGAACTTAAATACATTTGTAAAATTATATTTATTGGGAAATTTAAAAGAACTTGTTTTATGAACCACTGATTTTCTAGTTTTCACTTACCACTGGGCAATGCTTTTTCCATTGATAATATGGATTTAATCTTAGAGCTTTAGAAGTTAATCACCTTATTCCCATAGTCTATTCTCATAAACTACTTTGTAAGATACGGAGAGGAATCTAAAGCACACAGCATCTAAGATATATAAACTCCCACCTGAAAGCTTCTGTTTCTGTCCAGGACCAGACTAGTCAGCTAAAGTTACCTCAGATGAATCCCATTCCATACAATGGAGGCAAGCTACAACAGAGCTTGAGATCAGTCAAGATGGGAAGTGCTCCTGATGTTTTCAGAGGAATCTGAGAGATTTGGCTGCTGTCAAAAGTCACTGGGAATAGTTTAATATGGTTAAGTACAGTGAATAATAAAAAACCTAATAAGTCTGAGTTGAAAACAAAGCACCTTTATGTCAGGAACTAAATGTGAATTTTCAGAGCAAAAGCTGAAATTATGTGACCATTTTTACTAGCAGTCAGACTGCAAGAAAAAATAGGACTGTGTGGTGTTACAGTCTATAGATTTGCAGGCACAGCTACAGGTTGGGCAAAGAAAAGATTCAGAACAGCCCTGTGAGAAGGACTTGGAGGTGCTGGTGGATTTAAAAATGAACATGAGCCGGAAGTGTGTGCTTGCAGCCCAGAAAGCCAAACGTATCATAGAGTCATAGAATAGTTAGGGTTGGAAAGGACCTTAAGATCATGTAGTTACAGCCCCCCTGCCATGGGCAGGGACACCTCACATTAAACCAAGGTTTCGTCCAACCTGGTCTTGAACACTGCCAGGGATGGAGCATTCACAACCTCCCTGGGCAACCCATTCCAGTGCCTCACCACCCTAACAGGAAAGAATTTCCTCCTCATATCCAATCTAAACTTCTCCTGTTTAAGTTTTAACCCATTACCCCTTGTCCTATCACTACAGTCCCTAATGAAGAGTCCCTCCCCAGCATCCCTATATGCCCCCTTCAGATACTGGAAGACTGCTATGAGGTCTCCGCACAGCCTTCTCCAGGTTGAACAGCCCCAACTTTCTCAGCGTATCTTCATATGGGAGGTGCTCCAGTATCCAGTAAACTGGGCTGCATCAAAAGGAGCATGACCAGCAGGTCAAAGGAGGTGATCCTGCCGCTTTACTCTGCTCTTGTGAGACCTCACCTGGAGTATTTTGTGCAGTTCTGGTGTCATCAACATAAAAAGGACATGGAACTGTTGGAACAAGTTGAGAGGAGGGCCACAAGGATGATCAGGGGACTGGAGCACCTCCTGTATGAAGACAGGCTGAGAAAGTTGGGGCCATTTAGCCTGGAGAAGAGAAGGCTGTGTGGAGACCTCATAGGAGTCTTCTAGTATCTGAAGGAGGCCTACAAGGATGATGGAGAGGTACTCTTCATTAGGGAGTGTAGTTGTAGGACAAGGGGTAATGGGTTCAGGCTTAAACAGGGGAAGTTTAGATTAGATATAAGGAAGAAGTTCTTTACTGTGAGAGTGATGACACACTGGAACCAGTTGACCAAGGAAGTTGTGAATGCTCCATCCCTGGCAGTGTTCAAGACCAGGCTGGGCAGAGCCTTTGGCGACGTGGTCTAGTGTGGTGTCCCTGCCCATGGCAGGGTGGTTGGAACTAGATGATCTTTAGGTTCTTTCCAACCCTAACCATTCTATGATTCTATGATCTGTGAGAATACACGAGGAGCTGCCCCCATGTCAGACAGAGTCAGATTCAGGCAGCTCCAAGACAGACCTGCCGCTTGGCAAGGCTGAGCCTGTCAGCAACAATAGGAGCACCTCTGTGACAACATATTTAAGAAAGGAATGAAACTGCAGTACAACAGCTGCTGTGAGAGGAGTGAGAATATGTGAAACTGGCTGCCTGTGGAAAATGCATCACCATCACTATGGTGATGCATTTTGTCTTGCAGCCCATGGAGATTCCCTGTGGAGTAGATATCCACCTGCAGCCTGCAGATGACCCCATGTTGGAGCAGGTAAAATTCCTTTAAATGAAGCTGTGACCTGTGAAGAGCTCATGCTGGAACTCCTAGAAGGAATTGTGGCCCATGGAGTGAAGCCCCCATAGGAGGCTTGCTGGCAGACTTGTGACCCTGTGGAGAACCCACACTGGAGCAGTCTGTTCCTGAAGGACCTTGTGGAAAGGGCCCATGCCAAAGCAGTTCCTGAAGAACTGCAGCCCAGTGGGAAGGACTGACATTGAGAAGTTTGTCAGGTACTATCTCCTGTGGTTGAGAAACCATGATGGACCAGGGCAAAAGCATTATGAGGAAGGAGCAGCAGAGTCAAAGTTTTGAGAAATGACTGCAACTGACTCTCTTGATTGGCAATAAATGAAATTACTTTTTCCCAAGTCCAGTCTGTTTTCCCCATGACAGTAATTGGTAAGTGATCTGTCCTTATCTTGGCCTATGAGCATTTCATCATATTTCGTCCGCTGTCCAGCTGGGGAGGAGTGAATAATAGGGTGGCTTGGTGGGCACCTGGCAGCGAGACAAATTCAACCCCCACAAAATAATAAGAAATGTTTTCCTGAACCTGAGACTGTGCAAAATAGATGTCAGGCAGGAGGCAGAAAAATAACTCACAGGCAATGAGAACTAAGTCCCCAGAATGCTAAGGCCTCATCTATGCGCAGTGGTACAGGAGTGTAATCAGATGTACGATTAAACATGGTTTAGCTAAACATCTGAATCTGTCCTGATGAAATGAGGTTTAAACTTCCATAGAAATGTTGATGTACAATATACACTAGTTTAACTAAAATAAAAACTGAAGACAATCCAATACAACTTGATGGTATGGATGACAAATTTTGAAATACTGTAATACCAGTCCCTAAACAGTGTAAGATATGGGTTTTCTTGATAAATTCCATAAGAAGTTGTTCAGTCAAAAAAGTCTGTGTTTCTTTCTATATTTTTTCACCTTTTCATTCTTTATTACTTCTGCATTCACCTGGAATACTCTATGACTCCTGATCATTCAAACTGTGCGAACGAGAGTAGACGTGGTGGAAACATTTGTATAAAGATATTGGAAGATCTGAATGAGACTTTCTCTTGCAGAAACACTTGTCAGTTACTGAACTGATCTATTTCCGTTGTGAACTGATGCAATAAAGGACTTTAAACATATGCCCTTAGAGTGCATTGTAAATGCTGTTATTTCAACAACTTTATGTACAGCCCTCAAATATATTTAACTTGCCCTTAATGCTGCTTTGCTAAACACTTGTCAAAATAAATTTGCAATACAATACCTATTACCTGGTTTACCATTTTGGAATTTTGTCTATGTCTGGCATCCTAAGTATTGATAAAACAGAAGATTTGTTTAAGAAAAACCTTAAATTCTAAAAGCAGTTTCGTGGCTTTGATCTTTGTGCACCAGTTCCTTTAGCAGAGATAAGAGCCACAGCGAGGAATGAGGGTATGCTCCAATTCCAAATTCATACTGTGAAATAAATTGAGAAAAAAAAGCATTTTGAGGAAACTAAGTAAAATACATTGATCTACAGAATATATAATATTGAATGAAATGTCTTATTTTTCAGGTAATATATGACCTGCATTTTTTTGCCATTGCAGGAATGGCTCACTTGCAGATCACAACAATCCGTATCAGCTAGTAATAGGAAGAGTATGATTTCCTTAGGAGACAGACAGGGGAGCTCTTCACACTTTGACATCATGGAAGTAGGTGCTTTAGGGATAATTCAGACAGACAGATAGGATGGATTTTATAATATTTCAGATTTTTTTCTGATATTTTTTGAGTAGCTTTCCTAATATGAATAGAGAAGTGCTATTTCTGATTTCTATAAAAGAGTATATGAGTTAAATCTGGTAGTTATTACTATTTCTAGGCTGAATTTTTATCTTAGTAGCATATTGCACCGGCTGTTTTGTAATTAGGTGCCATTAAAAGAGGATGTCTATCAAAATGTTAACAAGGATGGTGGTCAATCTCTGTCAGATTTATTGAAAGCAAATACATTTATAAGTTCCATCATAAATCTAGGTCAAGTAATGAAATTCTCAACTTATTTTCCATAAAGCAGTTATTACATTATGCAGGCAAAATGGCATGATACATAACAGTTCAATTTCATCAGCTCTTCCCACAGCAATGAAATCACAAACCAGTACTGCTTAAATTTTGATTTATTTCATTGTCATCTATTAGCCTAGAATGCATGCACACATGGAATATTATAGCAGAATATGTATTAAAATCCCCATGAATTCTTTTATTTCTGTTGATATCCATATATAAGATGTTAAACTTTTCTTTAAGAAGAAAAACAACTATGTCCATTTTTAATATTTCCTTTTGAAATACCAAAATTAGTGTTTTTAACTACAAACAGAACTGCTTTTTGAATCTGTTAACTTTTAGTGAGCAGTTCTAAACAAGAAATTTCCTTAGGCTTGCTAAGTGATAAAAGTTAGAAATCATTTCCTTTTCATATCCTGAAATAATTAACTATCTAATGTAACTTTGTGCTTAGGGGGAACTTTCTACATGCTGGGTTATAGGATATTTGCCATCTATCTCAACGTTTGTGTATTTTTTAAAGACCAATTTTTACTTCAGTGTCTGAGGAAGCCACATAACGGTAAATAGTTTTCTTGTGAGCACATTTAATACAGAGGTAGGAGCTTGTGGTTCATCTTCCAGAACTGATCAATGACTGAGCAATCAGTAGGTGTTTAGGGAATCCACATAACTAGTGTGAGATGTGGTTTCAGATTCCATCAAGTGGAAAAGGGAAGTGAAATTCTTTGTTGCCCTTGAAGGCATGCTCTGTTTACAGAACAAGCAAAGAGCCTAAAATCCTCCAGAATTTACAGCTCTAATCCATCTTTCCTCTAATTTATTACACCTTAATTTTTGTGGGAAATTTAGATTAAGTTGAGAAGTAATTTGGGGAAAAAGGAGTAGATTGTTTAAAATGTTATGCTGTTGAGAAACTTCTTCCCTGTTATAAGACAGTACTTATCTCCATGCCTCTAGTTACATCTATACTAAATGTTAGGGTTAATAATAAATTTACTTTTAAGCCTGTAATTGCTGATCTTGTGTAATAAGAGCACCTGAGATCAAACCCCAACAGTTAGCCATACCTCAAATTCAGCACTATGAGAAATGTACAAATGCAAGATAGCGATGTCTACTGGCCCTTCTTGCTGTTTATGGAATTTGTCTGTGTACCAAAAGTTGTAAATGCAGTAAATCCAGCAATGGTGATTCTGCAATTCCTTGGTCTATCATTTCTAGCCTTCTACAATCTTTTATGTCTTTTTTTCTTTTGTGATTAGAGCAAGTGCGGAAAGAGAAAGAAGGTCTGTTCGTAAATGGACACTTGGGAGCAGAGTGTGGACCATTGTAGGGTTGTCCTAAAGTGATAGATGAAAAAGTGTGGATTTTTCATTTTATATCAGGTGAAGATGACCTTCAGATTAAACCCTGGTCATAGCTGTGTGCGGTATTACTCAATGGATGTTGTTCCTGAAAAGTGTTACTCACGGCTTTGTTCTGATTAGGTGAGCAAAACAGTCAAATTTGGGCTGATGTTTATGCATTATGCATTCATTTTGGGGTTAAATTTAGTTTAATGTTTCCATTGTATATATCTCCTCTGCTTTTTTTGCATTCTCTATACAGAGTGCACAGAGACAAAATTGTGAAACTGAAGAACAGTAAATCAGTTTGTTGATTTTGATATAGTTTCTACCCAGAATATTTTTAGACTCTTGAATTAAGCATCTGAATACAAGTTGCATTTTTCCTGAGTAGTTCAATGTTCGGAATGCTGCAAGTAAACCACAATTTTCTGGGTTCACAATGTACCACTACAGATCAATATTACCCTCTCTGAATATATGTTATATCCTGGCTGACTACACAAAACAGATTGGAAGCTCTCCTGAAATTAGATTCAAGCACAGATACCCATTTATCATGTAGGTAAATATATCAAATACATAGTGTCTTCATTACTATTATTATTATTATTATTATTGTTTATTTTCTGCGCAGTAAAGCTAAATTTCTTGACTTGCTGAAGGTTTCAGGAAGCCCTAGAGAAATTACTGCTGTACTTCATGATCAGGTAGTTTGGACACACAGGATTTAGGTACTATAATAAACATGGTCTGGCTATCTAGATATACTGCTCTTTGCAGTTTTAATGGCTAAAGGGCAGGAACAACTACAGGCCTCACAAAGTATATGATGGCATATTCTCAAGCATATGGTGTCCTTTCTGGACTTTCCTCTTGAGCTTTGTTATGAAAAGGATTAAAGGAGAAGAAAATGTATTTCCTTGGCTAAAATTCTGCTCATTTGTAGGGGAAAATATCCAGAATTATATCCTTTCCCTACTGACAGAGCATTATAACTCTACAGTGAGAAACTTGTGCCAAAGATTTCTTCTGTTGCAAGGGTTTATAAATAGTAGGTCACGAGTTGATACCAGAAAACAGAAACACAATAGTTGGTGTCAGCTCCGGATAGCAAGTGTAACCAAAAAATTCTGAAGGAAGCTAGTAGTTAGACTTGTTTGTCAGAACTCCATAGTGAAGGAGAAAACAGAAAGTGGAGTCAGAAGGATCAGGAAAGTAATCAGGAATGAGGTTTGAGTGGAATAAAGTGGTGTCCAGGAAAGAAGCACAGATGATGTCATGGCACACTGTAACCCTCTTTCTATAGCCCCTGCTGTCAGTTCACCTCCTACTGCCAGGGTTTTAGCTGCTCATGTAAGGGGTCCAGCTTTCATACACCACAACTGTGGAACCTTGACTCACACTGCTGAGACAGCTGTGAGACTGTCTGTGCAGACATAAGAAAGGTAAAAATTACTGGAACTGATGATCTACGATTGCTAGGACAGCAAGGTTTCAAGAGAGAAAACATTAACCCTGAAAGATAAAATCTTAAAGAAAAGAAATACAGAGAGGGTAGCTGGAGGCTGGTCTAGTCAGGGACACTCAGCAGCTGCCACACTGTGGTTGACCCGTCAGGGTTGGCAGCACTGACAGAGAAGGAGAAAGGCAAAAACTCTGGTGGCTCTTTGGAGCCGTGGCCTCCACCCCTTTCCTCTTCACCAACACCTGCCCAAATGGCAAAGGCTCTCCAGGGGCTCTACAGGAGTGTGGGCACACCAGTGCTTAATGTCCTAGCTGACTAAATACTAGTTGTCTTTTATGTGCATTGGCCAATAAATAATTGCTTTGTCCTCACGATTTATCCGTGAATTGCTTGCAGAGTCTTTTTGTGCCAGCCTAATGATGGCCAAACAAAATGACTATGAAAATATTTTGTAGAGGTTAAGAGGTGAGTTTATTATGCTGGGAAGCCAAGATGTATGTTTAAGAAAGTAGCAGCATAATAGGAAAGGAACATGATCTTGGAAGAAGTGATTTACATAAAAAAGCTGACCAAAAAACCCACCACCATCTAGCAGGAGGTAAAGTGTCCCTGGCATGGATGAAGAATCCTTTGCTATAACCATACATCTAGAAGAGCTCTGATGCTTGGACTTATGTAACATTAAATCATGTCAAGCAGAAGCAAACACCAATTGAAAACAAAATCATTAATGTTTTTAATTAGCTTGTCTTGAATTCTCATCTTCATTCTGAAAGCAGAGGGCTTATTTCAGTAAGAATCACAGCCAGCTTCTGTAACAAGGAAACTGGCTGTCCTCTAACTGAATTGGGCCCTAAATTTGTTGCTTGGCAAGAGCAGGGAAGTGTTCTGCTCTGGTGTCTGACTCCACTGGCAGTGGTGCTTGTTAATCACGCAAGCTATTACAATGCACTGTACAAGGATGATTCTCAAAAACATCTTATTGCTGAGCTAAAGGCTATAAAGTGCAGTCTTTTCTACACCAGATTTGTGCTCTGTTGTGTTTAATGGTAGTTGTGGAAGTCCGTGATTACTCACAAATGGTAACTAGAGACTGTGGCTAGGAACCCCTAGTGTGAGTGCAAGAAGGGGAGGACCTCAGTGCTCATGTTTTGAAGCAATATTTAGGCTAGCTTAACACTGAGCAATAAAATGAAGACAATAACATGGAAAATGAAGGCTAAAAATGTTTAATTACTTTACCCTGATCACACTGCTCCCTTCCAAGCTGGCAAGTAGGAATTGGAACTTGCCAAACATGTTTTATTTTTAAATCTTTTATCCACTGGCAAAACTGCATATTGCATCAGACCTCCTGAATGTGTTTCAAAATTTTGTAAGTTTTTCAGCCTGCACATAATTATGTGTTCATGCACATACAGTTAAAGATCTAATGCATACAGGGGCTAATCTGAATTTGGGGTTTGTGGGGGTCCACCTCCCATTGAACTCTAGGTGAAGTCTCTCTGTGTCATGCTTCCCCCTTAACTGAGCTCAGCAGCAGCAGCAGCAACAAGCACCAAGCTCAGCACAGTAGCCTACTGGACGAAATACTCTACACCCATGTAGTAACCCTTGGACAGAAGGAATACAACCCCAGTCCCCAGCACCTTCCAGGTGAAAGCTCAGGAACCATTCACATGTACAATGTTTTTGTGAGTGTGCTGGATGCTCCCTTTAAACACTGCTCTAGAGTCCCATTTAATGTGTAGCAAAGCATATGAATATCAGTAATGTTGAAATACTGACAATAACAAGTAAATGAAGAAGTAGTTTAGTCTCATAGACCTCAAAATCTGGTAGCGGAATCATAGCCCTGGCACAGTAGTGCCTAACTCCCTTTTGTCTGGGAGATGGACATCGCTGCAGCTGTCATTACGCTGCCCATTTCCTGTGATACTTTTTAGCACACTAACAGCTCAACTAGCAAATAAGCCTAATATTTTTTGTATTTTAGCATTCTACTGACTGTGACTGATTTAAATTTGGGTATTGGTTAATAAACAATGTCTGGCAGCAACTGACAGCTGGTAGCTCAATG